TTAATTTTTATCACTCATTATCATAGCTGTGCTTGAAAAAATTAAAATATGTGAAAGCACATGGGCTGGCATATTTCTAGCCTTGTAAAGTATACAAAGGTGGAGTAATTAATGCTGCCATGTTTTACTTAATATTTCTGGCAGTCTGATTTGCCTTGAATCTGAGGTTTATATGCCACCTGCCAGTCTTTGAGATGTTTTCCTACATGAACATTCACAACCTGCTGCTGCATATGAGGGACAATGAGTGTACCTAGCAGAGTGCTACTGGTGTATTTTTTTTTTTCTCCTCCCAAGTGCTGTGTTGAGGTGAAGGGCTTCAGTGTATCTCTCACAGTTGGCTTGATTTCTGAAACTGTCTTTATTCCTGTTCTCTTCCTGCATGTAGCTGTGATAAACTATCTGAGACAAGGATTGTCTCTTTAAAAAAGTGACATGGTGGCAGTATAGCCAGCGCAATTGCCATCCAGCAACAATCAACTTCTGCTAGCAAGTCTCTATTGGTAGGTGGCAACTAGAGGTTCATGTGAATTCTTGGATGCACTTCTACCTATCAGGTTAAAGAACATGCTTGAACTTAGAAATTTTGCCTACAACTTCAGTTAGAAATCCTAATGGTGCAGCTTTATAATGTAGGCAATTATTCTTTATATGGCTAGCATAGTACAATTTAGCAAAACCTAGTGATTTACAGTAATAATCTAAGCATTTTTTATGGAGAAATACAAACTGGGGGCTTTTCCACATCCTTCATAGAATCACCTGTATTAATGATACCATGTATTACAACATGGATACTACAAAATGTGATCATATCTCACTTTTTTAAGTGACAGTTTTGTTGTTCAGATCTAGTGTTAAATACATCTAATTTCTTTTACTTGAATAATAAAACCTTTGAATTTTGAAATATTTTTTTTCATAATATTATTTTTCTTCATAGGGGAAGCGTAGGGAAAAATATTAAGTGGTTTCCTAATTTAATAACTTTAGCCAGTTGCTCTTTAAATCTAGTTGTTGTTGCTGACAAAGATAATATCCCCCTCCACTGCCATTAACTGTCTCTGTCATTCATGGAATTTAATTTTGAAATAGTAATTTAGTATCCCTTGCCCAATCCTTACTGAACATGATGTGTCCGTATCTTCCAAAATTAAATGTGCTGATTTTAAGGGATTGTAATTGCCCATTTGGTTCAGTTTTTTTCTGCAGAAGTAGGATATGGCAGTGTACTTTGTTACGAGGTTTTGGTTCCTGTGTATATGTCCGCTTGTCTTCTAGTGCCCTAAATGGTGTCCTCCATATCCTGTGGCATATTGTGACAGTATCCTTAAACTGAAAAGGATGCTTGGCAGTAAAGACATAAAATAAAAGCTCTCTATCAACATCTTGTTAGCCAAGTCTTTTGAGTGGTATACTCAAACAGCAAATGTGGAAATTTGAGAGTGGTGCATTCTCAGTTTACATTGTAGAAATATTTGATATTGTAGGACTGATGGTTGTTAATGAGTTGACTTCATAACATCAGCTACTACCACAAGAATGACTGCTTGGAAGGGTCCTGTAAAGTAACATGTGGTCATCAAATTTACAGGAACTTAATTTATTGTGTATCTTGACTTCCTCTATTGTTTTTGTCCCATTGATTTATTTGTGTGGCAGTTAACAGTGCAGTAATTTTGTAGACAGTTGTTAAATTATGCCAGGGCAGAGTTAACTGAAAGCTAGCGCTGGTGTATGCATTCTCCCTAGCTTTGGTTGTTTGCAATTACCTGGTCAAAGATTGCAGTTCTATCACTGGGTAAACTGATTTGAGTTGGGGGTCAATGTGACCGAGTTCTGCTTCCTTTTCATTTCCACTATTTTTCCATGGTCCCCTTTTTTTTTGTTTGTTTGTTTGTTTGTTTTTGTTTTGTTTTGTTTTGTTTTGTTTTGTTTTTACCCTGGGGGAAGCCAGTTCAAAGCACCAGTTAGTCACAGCACTGCAAAGGAAGCCTGTCTGGAAAATAGTCTCTTTCTGGTTGCTGCTTCTGATCTGGTTCATAAATGCTTTTGACAAAATAGCCAGAAAAATGGGAGTGAGTGGCCAAACAGCAGGGGAGGAGAAGTTATTTCATTTATGCTGTGTTGTTGTCTAGTTGTTGCCTGTGTTATGTTACTGTATTGCACGTAAAATTTGAAATTATTATCTGTGAATTTGTTTGCTCTTGCAGTTGTTAAACTTTTAAAATACTCATCTGTTTTCAAATGAGTCTTTTTGTCTCACTTCAGCTGTTAGATTATGAACAAACTACTTCTTATTAGTTCATCGGGACTTTACTAGCAGTTATTTTCTCCAAATTTAGCAGTACAAACTAAAGTACACTTTTTGATGGGGGCTGGGGTGCAGAGAGAGTCCTAACACGACAAAAATGTTAAAATATATTGTCAGTTACTTTTGGTAAATCATCTGACCATATGAAATTGGTGATAGATATTGTGTATTTTTCTTAGTAGGCATTTGGGTGACCAATACATTTGTCCTGGTCTGAAAGAGAAGATTCAGTATTTACAGTATCATCCTCAGTTTTATACTATTGTGTTTAAATACTGAGATTCAGATATTTTAGACAGGAACCATACCTTTCCACCTCTGAATGCTGTCCGGTACACTTGTAACATATAGTCAAAGAAGTAATGCAAGCCTCCTCTCTTTCTTTTTGTGGCTTCTGAAAAACAGTCACAAAGTTTTCTCTTTTGCACTCAGTTCAAACTAATAATTTTTACAGGCTGCCATTCTTAGCACAAATTGTATATATTTTCATGCCAGTCTGTGGAGTTCTACTGTGTCTAGCAACTAAATGACAAGTATTAAAACAATGTTTTGTCTTTGACCTGTCAGCTGGGAATAGAAATCCAGTGTAGTAGACCATGGCTGGCTTAAGATTTTTGTCTTCTGCAAAAATTAGGAAATTACATTTAAACAAAATGTAGTTCATAGTTGTGGGTTTTTTTTTCAGCTACAGTCTTTGGATAAGAGATCTTGGCAGTGAATAATGGATTGTATTCAGCTGGCTCCACAGTCCTATTTTTACTGTTAAAAATAGGAGACACCAGTTAAATACATTCAATAGCATAAGCTTACTAGAAGGAATCTGCAGCCTTTCCTTCTCTGTAAACTGTATTTGTGTGGAAGATTTAATACAAACTTTTATTTTCCTGGGAATTTGCTCTCGTGACGATAAATTCACCTTCAGTGAATTTGGATGTTGATATATATGTTTTTATATTGGTTCCATTCTAGGCTATGAGTTAAAGTCATCTGTTTGTCAGAAGATTAACCTTTCCTGGTGTTGCTCACATAATTTATTTTCCTGGATATATTTGAAATATTGTATATTTTAAAATAAATCTGTCATTCAGTTAAGTGTTTCAACTTCGTACTTAAATTTGATTAATATTTACTGAGACCTCAAAAAGGATTTAAATAAGGGCTTGATAAAGAAAAGGTGTACATAAAGCATTGTAGGGGTGGGATCACATGCTGAGATTGAAATGAAAATTTTCCAGTCCAGAAAATAAACTTTGTTTTAGTCAGCCTCTGCTAGACCATCTTTCTATCACTGTCAGATTAGAAAGTATTTTTGCAGAGCTCTGAGTATGAAGGTGATAGGATGCTGTTTGTTGAAATGGATTTTTTAATAGTGCATTGAGTTTCATTACTATCACAGCATCTGTTTTGTTTGGTAAAGTAATTATCCTGTGTAATTCCAGTGTAAAACTCTCCAGTGTAGTTGTCCAAATGGAGAATTACACCGGGGAGTTGCCTGGTGATTTAAAACAAACTGTTGGACAGGTCATAACCTTGATTAGGCTGTTGATTTGCTTGGAGCAAAAGCTTTTATACTGATGCAAAGCAGGGACAGGAAAGTAAACTGAGGTAGGTGAGGAGAGTGCAGAACAACTTTTTAAGGACTTACCAGAAGGGTGCAGAGTCATTGGAAGACATTTGCCTTTCAGAAATATGGCAAAATTCTGATACTTCTCAATATTGTGAGTGGAATTTAATGAATGAAGTTTCAGAAATTACTTATTTTAGTAACGGATTTATTTTGTGAGAAAAGAAAAGACAACTAATTTTCTCACTTTTCAAAAGTGAGAAAGGAATTGCAAGCAATACTGGAAAAAATTTAGAAGTGCGGTTGGTATAAATAATGAAGGAAATTGATACTAAAATTGAACAATAATAATTGAACTGTCCTAATTAATTTACCGATTTTCTGTAATAATAATTAAGGAAGTTTTATGAAAATTACTGGTATTATTACATTAAGAATTGTGTAAGTATGAAAAATCTTTAACCTGGCCCTTTTTTTCTGCATAATTTATTGGTTTTTATTGTTTAACTGATTGTGAGAGTGTCCAGGTTACTCAGTTTTGTTCTTTATGTTCTGATAATAAGTTGAGATTGAGAGAGAAAAATCATAAATATTCAGGAAAACTGGGAAAAAAACACCAAGGTGAGGTAGTATATGTCTAAGTCTAATGAACATTCATTGATGCTGTTAGAGTTTGTAGAGCCATAAATTCAGGAAAAGGAATTGTAGAGATAGACTTTTGTAAGTCAGACTTAAGTATGTTCATTACATCAGTGTAATCAACCTCATGTGTAAAGGGAGAAGGTAGTAAAGAGTATATGTTAAAGGGCATATTTTTATAATTGAGACACAGGTCTGTTCTCCAGAATGCAGGAAGCCATCAAGCTTTGCTTTTTTTTTTTTTTTTTTTTTTTTTTTCTCTGAAGGGATCTTCCAGTTTATAGATGCTTTACAGCCCTGTGCATTTTCACAGCAATCTTGTCTCTGTTGCCCTGTTTGCTTTCTTGAAAATGTGTTGTAAATCTATTTGTGGTACTATCTTTCAGAACTCAAAATATTCTTTGTGGATGTTTCCTGCTAGGTGGAGCATAGGATTTGCGTCATAAATTAAAACCAAGAGGGAGAAAGAATCTTACAAGTTAAAATTCAGAAGCATGGGATAATCGGAACAAGGCACTGAAGTAGGAATACTTGTTCCGATTATCCCATGCTTCTGAATTAGGAATACTTCAGTGAAGTAGGAACTTCAGTGCCTTGTCAGCTAGTCAGCACAGATAAGAACATTTGATATGTTAATATTCTGTTGAAACTTTAACGTTTTATTTTGCATTGCATACTGTACTATGGAAAAAACATTGAAAAATATAGTTCCAATAGTTCTTGCTGTTCCTCTTTTGACAGGAATTGCTTTATTGTGCAAAATGACAGTGCCAGCCAAAACCATCCAGCTGAATGATTCCTGAAAGGTTGCATTTCAGTAGAAACAGCATTGTAAGTGATTAGACAGCTCTGTCACAGGTCTTGAAGCACGAACGTGACTCGTCTGACTCTTTGCAGAACGTTTTTGTCTAGTGACACTGAAGGCCACCGCAGCTTGCTGATGTAGTGCTGGTGGAGAATAGTTGCTGCTCTTCTTGCCACTTTCATGTGGATGAGTTCTTAGTTATTGGGAGATTTAGAACTGTGATAGTTTCCTTAATTCTAGGTAGTGATACCCAGTCTCCATACAGTCTGTATATTTATGTTTTTTATGTCCTTGCAGAGAGATTGTTCTGTTTATTACACATCTATATTTTACTTATTTCAGGAGACATCATGGCTTTTGCTGACTAGTATTTGCATTAGTACTTTACAGTAATTTGAAATCAATACTTTCTAGTAGTATCAGCTGTGGGAGCTTACCTGCCTACTTAACTTCATGGAACTTTAATGAAAAAATACTCTTCAAGTATGAAAATACATTAAAGAAGTATACATTTCTCCTATCTTTGTCTTTCTGTCTGTTTTTGTCTATAAATTGTGTTGTCATTATTCATCAGCAAACATTGTAAAGAGGCTGTAAGTAATAAAAAGAAAGAAAATGAAGCGAAATTACGTTATTTAACATAGAGAAAAAAAGCATGTCAACTAGATGAGATGGAACTGATCAGAATATAATGTGAGCAGACTGTTGTTTTCTTGAATCATCTCTCCCAAAATGTTTTATTATGTTAATACCCTGCTTTTGGCCATCATAATTTGCCAGTAAATAATTTTGAGAAAGATAGAGGAATGCTGGTATTTAAAGCCCAGCATTTAATGAATTTTTTTGGTCTATTGACTTAATTTTTGGTCTGTTGCCTTAATTTCTGTGTCAGATTTCTGAGAACAGTTAGGATCATAATGTTAAGTAAGAGAGAGCTGTCTGCCATCTGTGGCCAAATAATTAAAAGGTTAAAAAGAATAAATGTCTTCACATCTAAGAGCCAAAGACACCTATCATTTTTGCCTCTACTACTGTGTGTCTAAAGGGTATCTGAACAAGTGATTCTCAAGACCAGAGTATTGCTTCAAATGCAGCATAACAGTTTTTTCCTGCTGCTGTTGAAAATCGTTTGAGGAACTAAAGCATTCTATTTAGAATTTCATTCCAGCAATAAAATGTGTTACTTCTTTATGAGTACTTAAATATAAGTACTTAAATAAGTACTTAAAATGCTACAGCTATTGCAATGTCTGATACTTGATTTATATTAATTGCAGCTTCTGTTTAGAATACTGAAATGGAGAACCTGTTTTTACTGAAACAATACAGTTAATTTTTGTTTGAAGCTTAGGATAGTCAGTTCTTACTGCTTAAATAATGAAAATAGCAGTCTGAGATGTAATAAAAATTTATTTCCTTCTTGTATTTTCATGCTGTTCCTGTTTCTTCCTGTTTATTTGGGCTTAGTACAGTGCTCTCACCTGTAAAATGATTATCAATACCCAATATTAATTATGTTAAATTACAATTCGGGTGTTTAACAAAGCACCCCACATGTTCATAGATGGTTGGAAAGCACGTTTTAGACCCTGTAGAGGGATTCTTAAGTGCTATCTTTTTTACCAGTTGTGGTCTAATCTGATACTAATGTTGAACATAAAAGCATTTGAAATTGAATTTTAACTACATGAATGTAATTACTATTTATACTTTTTAATGTTCATAAATGAACTCTTGTTAATGTTTTTCTGTGCGAGAATATTTTTCAGAGGTGTGGAATGTCTTGACAACTGCTGTTCTTAAGCACTCTAATATGACTTTCAGTATGTGAATATAACTCTTGTTTCCTCTGTATCAACAAGTCCACTGTTAGTACTGCCTTTCTAAATAGAAGACAGGTATGTTACCTAACTGGCAGCTATAGATATCGGAGAATTACAGGGGAAAGGTTTGCCTGTCAGTAGAGAAGTTCTCAAATGTTGCATGCGATCTGGTGGATTCATTGTGCATTTTTACACATCTTTGTGTTCTATTTTGTAATTGACAGTTTAGTGTTAATAGAATACAGGTAGAAACAGATTATTTCTTTTGTCTCTTCTTGAAGGTCAAATATTTATCCATACTGCACCTTCAAGTTTTTATGTGGTAAAAACCTAAATACTTCTCACTGCAGTCTGTCTGTTAATATTTCTATAGTTAGTCAGCTATGCAGTCAGTGACAGTAGTCACTTGTCATTGAAAACTTGTGGTTTTTTATGACAAAACTAAACCAGCAAAACTTAATTGAAAGAAGTGTAATTTCTTGAAGTTCCTTTCCTCCCCTCTGCATAACGCTCTCATGTCTTGAGTTAACAGCTTGTAGCAATAACTTGAAATATTGGGTATTCTCACTTTAAAAATACAGTACCAAGTTCTCAGGACTATGCCATATGATTAGCAGTGTATTTTTAGCCCTTCTGACATCATGATGTAATCTATTGCAGGTGAGTAAATTCCTCTATGTTATATAAGTTTTCTACTAAATCCATACTTAGAGAGAAAATTACGAGAGGATTTGCAGCAGGGCCAGAAACAAAGCTGTAGAATATCCAGTATCTAGAATATTGCATGTGCTTGGTGTCTTTTAAATAAGATTTTGTTCAGTAATGCGCAACTTACTTGTTCTGTTTCCCTGAATAAAAAGAGTTTTTTAAAAGAAAAATATGTGCTTTGAACTTGTTTGTTAACCAACTCTAGAATTCTCTTTGACCTTAAGTGATGATGTCATTTTTGAAGACTAAAGACAAATGTAGGCACATGCTTACATGCTTCCCAAAGACTCCCTTGGGGACAAGGCCCTGAAATTGCACACACTAATGGCCTGGGAATGAAAGTGGTTTTATTTTGTTTGACCCAGGAAAAACAAATGTTGTGGAAGTTAGCTTCAAGAGATTTGATTTGTGTTGCAAATTTTCTTGTCTTATTCAGATAACTGCAGTATCTGAGTGAGGTGGACCATGAAACAGTGCTTCACCAGGTTGTAAAGAATAGGATAAAGTAAGTCAAAGGCAGGAGAGCCCGCAGTTCACAATTAGTATAAAATGTATTTATAAAAGACAGTTTTGCTTGCTCCTCATTTCCTCTCTCATTTGTTGTTTTAATTTTGTACTGCAATATATTCCATTCCTGTGTCTCAAAACAATGACTGTGAAAAAGTAGTGAGTAATTTTTTTGAGATTATGTTTCCATGTCATATATAAGGGAATAAAATTTTATTCCTGTGTGATGGAGTGTCTGTCAGTGATAATACCAGAATCCTGATTCTGTAGCTTTTGTTTTAGGGTGCTTGCTTTTTACATGAACTTGTTCATCTTTCTTCAGTATTGTATTTCATAGTTTTTCTTTGACATAGGTAGTTTCAAAATTGCATTTGCCTAATAGATACAGTATAGAAATTAGCCATATCTACATTTGTGACTGGAGTAAAAACTTGGAAACTGGTGAGTGCTGCTTACATGAAAAATGCGGTCTTGTAGTTCATTGTGATGATAGATGGTAATTACTTTTGGCACATGATGAAATGGTAATTCCCATCTGTTCTTCTGTGGAAGTTGTTGCAAGAGAGAGGTGTCTTTGAAATACTTGTATAGCTATTTAATTTTCTGGTATGTTCAGCTGATTCACTTGTAGCAGAGCTGTGTGTTCACTGTATAAACCAGGCTTATTTTCACTTTGTGCACTACAAGTGTTCAGGTGTCAATGTCCTGATTTTGAATAGTCTAGTATGTGCAAAAACAGTAACTCTGAATATGTAGGGTTGGAAATTATGTACTTCAGGTATGTGTATGCTGTTTTGCCACTGTAAATTCAGAAGAGTTTATTTTCTCAAAGGGTAGCTGCAGTGAGTTTGTTTATGTCTCCTTTACTGTGGGGTAAGAGCCATATGTATGGTCAAGTGCCATTGAGGAATTGCCATGCACCTCCTCTGTAGCCCTGCCTCACTGAGAGTGTTAAATTAAAATCTTTTGTTGAAAGGTCTAGTGGATAGTAGAGCAGCTGTTTTTTTTCATACAGAATCAGAAGTGACCTTTGACCCTTTACCACAAAATGACTATTTTTTTGTGCTGCAGTGATAATGTTTCACCAATAGTTGTCAGAATCATCTGACAAAAATTGTGAAGTTGCTAAAACTTCAAAAGAACATTTTAAACACAGGAAGCAAGATAGTAAGGTGTACCAGTCCTACAAATGTTACCAGGCTATGTGTGCTATGGGCATGAATTTTCTGTGAGTGTTTAAGCAAACAACTTCTTGTCGCTTATTTATGAACTGTTCTGTAAATGCTTCTAAGTGCTGTACATCTCCCTCCTCACCCCTAGCTTTGAAAACCTCACTGTGTTAGAGGAATCTGAAGTTGTTAAACACAAAAAAGTCTTGTTACATTCATTCTCCTTTTTCCTTCTTAGTTTCCTCATTCACCTGTTGTTTATATTTTTTCTCCCTGAGTCTAAGCCTGCATCATCTCCCAGCTTAAAAAGGGAAGTATATTCCTGTAATTCAACTTCTGCTTTAATTTTCATTTCTCTTTTTATGTAGTCTGTATAATTACTGACTAGTGTTCTTTCCTCTGGTTTCCAGCAAATTCGGAATTTGACCCTGCACTAGGTTAAAATTGTTCTAGATGGTGTTGCTGACGGCCATAGACCATTCATGTTCCTCCTCTGTAATAGGAATCTTTGACAATGAGATATATACTTTTTAAAATTTGCTGTCCCTTTTTTATCTTTGTCAGCGTTTTTCCTTATTATCTTGTAACATTTGGTTGTGGGAGTATCTGTCCAAGTCTAAAAAAAATCCCAGGACTTCTGTTTCTTCATGCCTTCTCCTGACACTGTACTCCTGTACTCTGCCTCTCTCCTGCACATATGTCTAACTTTATCTGAGTTTGATACCACCTCTTCTTTTTGCTATATATGCAGATATTTTCAGTGTCATTTTGATTATGTCCTGTCTGACTCTGTTCCTGAAGCATCAGCCTGTAGCAAGGCTGAAAATAAAAATCTAGAACTCTAAATGTTGAATGAGCTGTGGTGCTACTTTTTAGTGTTTTGTGTATGTGATTCAAAAATTGATCTCTGTGTAATCTGAATATTAGGTTTTTTACCAAGAAGCCTCAAACATTTTTTAAAATTTGTTTTGGTAATCTTATTTAAGAGTTAAAGAGATCCTGTTTTCCTAGGAGTGGTGTTGAAAAAGTGAAGTGTAAGCACGAGATGTTTGTTTCAGAAAGTTTGGCAAGCTGTAGAAAAACGTGCCAAATTTCTGCAGCTCCCAGATGGTCAGGAGGAAATCTGAAGAGAGCAGTTTCAGTACTTTAGGGAAGCTGTGGGATTTCATGGGCTGTTAAATAAAAAATGTCTAAATCTATCAGGTCTTTTGTCCTGAAGCATTCCAGATGTATCCAGTTGTCAATAATTTATTTCTTTTTACAGCTTTGCAATAAAGAAGAGAAAATGCTAATTAAATTCTGATTGTAACTGTAATTTTTTTGTAGTGAAGTATACTACTTGGCTGAAATCACAGTGGGGAGATGAGAATACTGTATCTGTGTACTCACATAACTAGAATTCTGTATTTCAAAATACTTACACTTTGTTACAAGTTATACTTATAACTTAATACTTTGTATTAATGTTTAGATGCTTAGTTGCAATGAACATATGCACAAAGGTTTTAATTTTTCTGGAAATACTGTTTTCATAACTTATTAAAAACAGGTTATGTCCATTATTAGTGTTCTGTGATATAGTTAATATCATACAAATATAGTTAATATTATACAAATAGTTAAATTTGTAGCCATCTCAGAGATCTAAAAATTAATGGGTCTATTTTTGTCACTTTATATTTTGCCTACAATTGGTTTCCATTTAGCCAAGAGATAATAATATCATAAATCATGTATCACTGGTTTTGCTGATAACTTAGTATCATACAATACTAGTGAACTCAAGATTTTTGTACTCTGGCTTCTGCTTGAAACAGGGTCAACTACAGTAAGTTGCTCAGGACACTGTCAAGTTGAGTTTTGGATATCTCCAGTGATGGAGATATGCTTAAACAGAATTTTCTGTGCTTCAATTTGTACCTATTGCTTCTTGTCCTGTCACTGTGTATGTCTGAGAAGAATCTGATTCCATCTCCTGAACTTTCTGCTCCACTTCCAAATTGGGTAATTTTGCACCATGGGAAGATTCCTTTGAGCCTCCCCTTCTTCAGGCTGCATAGTCCTGTTTCTCTTAGCCTCTCCTTATATGACAGATGCTCCAAGCCCTAAGCAGATGTCATATTTATATCAAAGCTTTCCTTTTCAAAACTACATCTCCTCACAGTGGTAAAGTACAGTGGTAAAGCTGTACAGTTCAGCTCAAAAAAAGATCCTGAGAAACAGTAAAATGATCTATTTTGAAATTGTTTTATTTCGCAACACTACCCCTATGTTAACTCTTTTCTTATTTCAGCCAAGGTTTATGGTTTTCATAGAGCATTTACTGGAACACTGAGTTTATAATACTATCTTTTATCCCTAGGAATCTTTTTCAGTATGGTGTTCGATATTTAATATAATCTTTTATATAATCTTTTCCTTCAGAAGAATGAGGTAGAACATTCTTTGATTAATGGACTACCTTTTTATAAATAATTTTTCCTAAATTTGCATTTCTAGAGCAAGCAACAATGGCTTATTTTTGCTTAGTAAGGATAATATCCTTAGTTTCTCCTAGAGCAGCAATAGAAATGTCTTTTTCTCCGAGTATTTAAAAGAATAGAACAGACATGTTTTATCAGACCTTCTTCTAAAGGAAATAAATGCATTGAAAAGAAGACAATTTCACAGGCCTGTGATATCTGCAGACTGCAAACTGATAGTCAGCAGTCCTGTGTAGGTGGAACCTTTCCTTCACCAGCCCTCTGATGTTGTGTTCTTAGTTTGAGAAGTGATTCTGGCATTCTGTTGTTCCTTCTCTTGTATTATACTTTCTGAGGCTCGCAGGCAGAGTTACATAATTTACTGTTCACACACAGAACACAAATAACATAGTGTTTCTGTGAATGTACTAGTTTTTTTCCCTTGTCTCTTGGCAGACTGTTGGCAGATCAGCAGCAAAACCCAGCAGGATTTGGGAGATATTAGCTTATATTTGATCCTTCTTTCAGAGTTAGCAGGCTCTTGCTTTGAGTTTTATCACATTCAGATGGGTGCTTTGAGTAATTTTCTTCCCTTCATAGAAGTAAGAATGAAGGTTTCTGAAATGCAACTTCTTTTCTTACATCTTTTTGCTTGCTGAGTGCCAGTACTGGTCCCTCCTCTCTGGTTACTGATGTTATTACTGTAATTCCTCTATTCTCCAAAACATCTTTTTAACAAAACTCTTTTTGCTGTACTCACAATATTGCACCTTCTGCATGGCCAGGACACCACCTAACTGAGCTGGGGACCCGTATTCATGCAGTCTATTTGCAAATCTGTGTTAGGTCTTGAACTAAACTATGATCTTGTGCAAAACTAGTCTCCATTAAGTAAACAGCAGCATAAAGCTTCTACTGAGGCATATAGAAAATGTCATGATGTTTTCTTTAGGGTGAACACCTGCCCATGGGGCATGAACTGAGATGAAAAATGTGCAGCTGGTGCCTAAACTTAGAGTAAATGTGAAAATTTATTGAAGCATCCTTTGCTTAGCACTCAAACATCACACATTATTAGTGTAATTTGCAAACTAATAATACCTGAATCGTAGTGACAGTGTGACTTCAGTTGCGTTGCTTTTTCTATTCTGAATTGGTTCAGCAGTTTCTGAAGTGTTCATGAGACTGCTCTGGCAAACCTGCAGCTGTAATACAGCCCAGAGGAGTGAAAATAGGGGAGAGGAAAAGGAAGGAACAGTGGAGAGTAGGGGAAGATAAAAACTGTTTAGTATGAAGGGCATGTGAAAATTGCTGTAGTTTTACTTATACCATATTAAAACTGAAGCAGGTGTATCTCCCAAGACTAACTGTTTTCATACCTTTGCAGTGTAATTAATATAAATACAGGCACAGTTCCATAACAAATGTGGATTTTGAAGTTTCAGAGAACATGTGATAACCCCACAGACTTATTAATGTTGATGAAAGACCACCTTTATTGCTAAAAGACATTGCTGTAGTTGCATCTCATTGTTCTTCATCGTGGTTGAAGTTTTACCTCTTTGTTCAAGGAAAAAAAGTTACATTTTATTGGTTTTCATCAACTCTTCTGTTTTGTTCTTTTTCCTAGGAAAGGGCAACATGATGAATGCTTTCTCAAAGAGTGCTTTCAGTACAGCTGAAAATAGTTTACTTTCAACTTCCTTCTTATATTTGTATACCAAAGTTGTTTATATGTTTTTAGTCTTACATTATCTTACAGTACAGAAATGTAGGCTTTTCAGAATGAAATGATTTTGACAGTTACGGAAATTGGACTCAAGATTTCTAGTTGTAAGTCATTAAGCTTTGCCTCAGTTTTCCAGTGTTGCCTTGTAAATTCACTCGAGGTCAATTCTGTAGTAGTATTTACCATCCATTTGATCAGAATAAAAACAGTTCCTGAAAACAGTTCAAAATGTTTTATGGTGAAGTAAATTAGAAAAATAATTAATACTAATCATATGCCATAGCACTTTCTTTAGGACAATGTCAGGATATAAAAAGAAATATTCAGTCACTTTAAATATGTTGACATTTTAATGTTGTTTTAACTACAGGTACAGAGAGGCTCTTGTCAAGTGGGATGAAGCACTTCAGTTAACTCCAGAGGATGCTACACTTTATGAGATGAAATCACAGGTAAAGCGTGACAATTCCTTGCCAGTTTAGAAATTAGAAAAGAAGACACTGTGTTTCTGAACGGATACTGGGCATTGTTCAGTTGTGTGCAGGAACAACAACACAATTTAGGTATTTTGTTTTTACCAGCTAACAGGGCATCTTTTAACAGAAATTGGAATAATGGTGTTCTCCTAGTCAGTCACAATAAACATCTTGGTTGGGTTATGAATTGGGGTGCTACATTGCGGGGAAAAAAATTATGTTGGAGGGATCAAGGAGAGCCTTAGCCAAGAGAGATAGATCAGCAAATCTGACCATTAAAAATCTGCCTGCTCTTTCTAAAAATTTGGCTTAATACTATCTGCTGTTAATACTAAACATGGGTACTGTGTGCAAATGGTTTGCTTCAATCTGGTTTTGTATTAAGTGTTACACAGATAAATCAGTCATGTAAAAGACTGTAGTATCTAATCTAAACCTGCTCTCTTTCAGTTGGAAGCTGTTTCCCCTTATCCTATCACTACATCCTTGTAAAAAGTACAATTCCAGCTTTCTTGTTATTCCCATAGGAGCCCTTTGGATTCTAGGAAGCATCTCAACAGGCCCCACAGGTCCAGCAAGTGGTTTTAAAAAGCTACATTGTTTGAGGAAGAAAGGAAAAGAGAAAAAAAAAAATTGGTGAATTTATTATGTAACTTTTAGGAAGTTTGCTGTTACTGTTAGTTACTGTTTAGATTTAAAATCTTCATTGTTACTCTAATTCTTCTATTGTGTAAAAACTCCAATCAAGACTCTAACACCCCTACTTCCCCAAAAAAGAAGCCAAAAAAAAAAAACCCAAACCCCAACAAATCCCAATAACTAATGCTGGTTCTTTCCCATCGTCTAGTGGCTGCTTTTTCTAATGGATATTACCACATTTGCTCCTCACCGACATCTTGTCTGGTGAAGTGAAGAAAGTCTGATTTTGCAAAAGAATTAATACAATAATCATTACTTCATTTCAAGACAATGAATAGTGAAGGATGCTTTTGTTTTATGTAACTGCAGAAGGTTTAGCTCTTACTAGGTTATGCATTTGGTTTGAGAGATTCTTTATGGCTTAAAGGTTTTTCTTTAAATTGTGTTGGGAGAAGTGTGTTGTTGTCTTTCCATAAGTGGTAGTGTAAGAGAAAAGATCTGTCTACTCTAGTGAAATGGCTGGAAAAGAGTTGCACAAATGGCATGAGCGAGTAGCAATATTACTCTTCTACCTCCAGCAACCTTTGGCAAGGGCCTTCTCTGTGTTTAGAAATGGTTGAAAGATTTTTCTTCAACAAATTTGTTTCAATGCTTTCTGTTTCTGTGTGTATTTCTAATATCTGCAGAGCTATGTATTAAGGAATTTCAAATTCTGATTATGCATTTTTAGAAGATGAAGGTTAATACAATTCTGCTTTAATTAGCAGCAGATTGCTATAAAGGGTGTTAACTTACATAGCAGTTCCTTTATAAGTTTAATTTTTAACTTCACTAGTAAAGAAGATCTTCACGTCTGCTAAGATGTGAATATGATATTGGTAAATTTTATCATCACAATTTAAAGATCTAACTGTTTTGAATATAACAGCTGTTAAAATTTCAGTTTTTAAATTGTTAAATTTTCAATTTACAGTTCTGCTCGGTGGGACAAATTAGTGAACAGCTCCCTTGTTAACTGTTTTTTATTATAGGCTTATGTGAATGCAAGAATTTAAGATAGGTCCCCAAAAGCATTATGTTTAATTGAAATTACACCAAAAGTAAGTATTTTCACACTGAAAATAGCAGGAGAACTGTGAAGTGTGTAAGCTTACCTGGATCTGAGCTATGATGCACTGAATTATCCAAAGAAGTGCTTACTTACTTATTATCGAAAGAGGTGCTTACTACAATGTGCTTCCATCTGTGCTCCAGTAATAATACTGAGGTTGTTGTACTTGGCCCCCTAGTACCTGTATTTCAGCAAAATGACAAAGGTGAGTTAGAGGCACACAGCTTTTCTGCTGACCAAGAGGAACTGAGAAACAGCTGTGTTACTCTGGGTCATCTTGTGAATTATCTGTTCTACTGATACAAGTGGAGAATAATGAAGGCTGAAAAAACTGAAAAAAAAAGCTGAAGAAGCCCAGGCCTCTCTTCTACCATGCTTTTGCTTTCTTTCTGAGAAGTTCTCAGCAGTTGCACCATTTCTTTTTGATTTCACTTTCTTGCATTGCATAACACTTGTTACACTGTGAATAAGAATACAAGGAAAGCTTGTGTACAAAATATACATTTATAAAATTATTTATTGAATCTTTTTAATAAAACATGTCATGTTTCATTTGGTAACATCTCTTTCATACATGCAAATAATTATTGCAGATTTTTTTTTTGCAGTAGGACTTATGCTTACTGGAAGCTCTTTAGTAGAATGTGTAATTTGATACCTTTGTATTTCTAAAAGCACTGATGTGAGCTGTAGCAATTCACTTTTGTCAAAATAGAAATATGTAATTCATTCAAAAAATATTGTGGCCAGTATTTAAAAGATACTGTCTTAGAGCTGACTGTTTTATTCCAGTCCAGCATACCAGCACAAACACTGCAGCTGTTACAGTGTAGCTCAGTGGAAATGTTTTGGAGGAGCTGTACACCAGCTTCAGAAAGGCCTTGACCAGTACTGGGTCTATAAAAATCCCCCTGTCTTGATATATGTGTCACATACTAGAGGAGGAGGTTCATGTTTGGAATGCCTTTGTGAAATATACAAAGATTCTTTATGGTCTGTATTAATTTTCTATCAGTGAGAAAATGTCTCTTCCTGAAGTAAATCTGTTGGACTATTAACATTGGATGATGAAGTGGGGTTTTTTTGCACAGGCTTGAGTATCTGTCTTACATCCTTACATTTATTAGGATAACCTTATGTTGGGTTACACAGCAGCTTTTCCATTCTTTAGGGTTTCCTTTCTCAACAGCAAACAACATTTTCAAAACTGAATTGTTTAATATGCGGCTCAGAAAAGTATGATAATGGCACTGTAGGAATTTGTAAATGTTTCTGGTAGGTTCCCAAAGATCTGTATTTTAACAGATGTAGAATGAATGTCTTTCAGTACTTCTGAAGAGCAGAAGTAGTGTTTAAAGTTCCTAGTTGTCAAAGATACTTGAAATAAGTGTATTTCCAGAAAATCACATGGGAACTGTGGAATTGCTCAATTGCTTCAAGAAACCATAGAATTTGATGAGATTTTTTTCCATTGCTCTCAGCTACTCTTTGATCCATTTAAAGATTTTTATGGTTTTTGAGAGGTTAGGGGTGCAGTTTTCTTTGCATGCAAGATCTGTCAGTTTACGTACTTGACACTTCATCACCAGCCTAAGCTGCTTCCCCATTGCAAGGACAATGGCTGGAAACGAAATGCTTAATGTTTATGCCCGTTTATTTCTGCATTTTTGTTGAAAAGCAAAAATCTTTGAAAAAGACTCAACAGGAGTAACCTAATATAAGTAGTATTGTAAGTATATTCAAAAAAATATATAAAGACTGCCTATGTTGATGCGGCCACTAAGACTCCTTGAAATTATTTGTAGGCTGAATTCCTTAAATATTGGCTGGATTATTTTATTGCTGATTTGAATTACAAAGATGGAGGAGCAGACTTTGACATACTCTTTGATTTTTATCTTAATGTTCGGTGGCTGGACCATGTGGGACATTTTTGGATGAAGAGGGATATCAAAGGACTTGGTACATTGTGATGTTATATAACGAACCATCCTGGGAGCGAGACTTGGTTCTATTCAGTACTACTTCTGAGAATTCACCTGGTTTATGTTGCTTATCTCGTGACACTTGCACCTCAGATCTCAGATAACTGTGCAACTATGAGAGGTTTTTTAAAGTACACGATACAGTTTTTTAATATATATTTTTAGAAACAAGTAAATTCAAATGTAAACCAGCAGTTGAGTTCCTTTTAGTAATTTTTTGGATGTTTTGTCATCAGCTCTATAAGAATCTAGTTTCCTTCAATGCTGCATCCTCAATTTGCATTCATTGAACAGGACCAGGATTTCAGATATATGTCACTTCTTTGTTTTTATATATGAAACCCATAATCTTCAAATATTCCACTGTCTCTCTCTTCTAAAGGCTTTCTTAATGTTGAACTTAAGAAATAATATCAACTTCTACACATCAGTCTTCCTACTTAAGAAATTACAAGGTTTCTAAGACATGACCAGACTTAGTTTAGATTATAAGAAATCAGCTAGTAAGTGCTGATTATTTTAAGTTTGTTTTTCTTAGATTGGGATGTGTACAGAGAATAGTGAACTGTCAAAACATTAGTGTGAACTTGAGAAATCTAAATTACAATAAAGCATTTCTGTGTGGTGCAATGATAGTTGCTTTGAAGTGTGGATAAATGTAAACTACTTATGGGTGGAATCAATTTTATTCATCTGTTTTTTGAAATGTGTTACTGGATGGAAAAAGGAATTGGGTCAGTTTCACTGAATGTGGACTGTATCTATATATAGTGATTCAGCTTCATTTAAAACCAGAACTTACTCAGATTCATAACACTTCCAAAATATTGTGGGCAGAACATTATGGGTCACTCTTCTGCCTGGATTTCTAATAGTTGGTCAGTCTCCTGATGAGAGTTTCTATGTTTAATTGTTTTTTTGCCATTGAGTTCTTCTAATTCTTCTCTCTTGTATGACTTTTTCTAAAGATATGTTAAACTAAGTTATTATAGGACGTGGATGATACTGTTTTAAAGCATGTAATAAGGATAAATTTCTTTGGGTAAAGCAAGTCCTGAAAATCCACTTACTGAACATCTTTATAAGATGTTCCCCTCCAGTCACTTATGACACGTACATATGTGTGTGTGTGTGTGTGTGTGTGTGTGTGTGTGTGTGTGTGCACAGTGAGAGTCTTGAGATGTTTTTTCTGCTTCATAATTTTTTTTCCTAATTATAAGATTGTTTTCTAATAGAGTATTATCACTATATATATGTATCTCACTATATATACACCCATCACTTTATATGTACACTATATATATATGAGTGTGTGTTTGTGTATACACATATGTGTATACACACATACTTGAAGTGGCTGCATGTTGAGCATGAGACTGGCACGCTGTGTGACAAGGGGGGGCTACAGCACGTGTGACTCCTGTTTGCCTTTGTCTTGCCCTTGTGTCTGTACCCCAGAGCACCACTTCTCAAATCTGTGCACAGGAAATCTTTGTGCTAGCAGTGGTTTTTATTCCTTGTTCACTGTGGGTTTTTTGGGTGTAGAATAGTTTCCAAGTAGCATACAGGGGTGTTTATTAAAGTGATAATCATAGAGTCTTGGGTAGAGTAACCCAAGACAAGGCTGCACACATTCATGTCTGCCACTGTAGGTTCATTTTGATGACCTCTTCACCTGAGAAAAAAAGTGTAGGAAAATAGTGTGCATTAATAAGTATATTCATTATACTGGCTGACAAGTGTAGCTGAGTCATTTTATTAATAACTGAAAAAACTACCTGTGTTGGGTAAAAATGCGTATAGATTCAAATGTGTGCTTGTTTGAATGTACTTTGAGAATCTAATGCCAAAGTTATTAGGAGCAAAGTAATTACTACATGATCTGGAAGAGCATTTTTAAAGCAGCTGTTGATGCTGGTGCACACTGTAGTCATAAATAGAAGTGGGATAATTGCCTTTATTAGTAAAGTAATAATTCAGTAAACAAACCAGCAAAATTCATTAAAAACTACAAAAGATTTTTTTAAGCACTTACACAGATGTTTTGTAATTAAGTTTTCAGTAGGAAGTACTGGTAGGAAATACAGAGTACTTGGGATGCATAAAAATGTTCCTGTGAATGTATACTTGGATTTGTTTCTCTTATAAGAGAGAATAAATACATTAAGACACTGATGTAGAAGATAGCTGATAGATTCAGAATCCCTTCATCTTGGTAGGATGTACACCTATCCACTAGTAACAGTTTGATTCATTTCCCACATCTGCTGCAGAAAACGGAAAATGCCCATACAAATGTAATTAATCTGAAATTTTTGGAAAACACATGACATTCATCATGGACTTTTATACAAAATGCAGTCATTGATAACTGTTGAGCGGGAAAAAGGGGGAAGATGATAGACTGCTGTAGATTGTTTTTCTAAAGAATTTTTAGGTACTTCTGAATTCTAAGATACAGTCCACTGAATGGAATTGAAATGAAGCCATAAGACTAGTCTTAAGAAAAATTTAGTCATACTAGATTGATACTAGCAGAAGTATCAATCCAAAGGGTTATTCAGAAGCTATGCTTATGATGTTTCTTGGTTTTTCAGTCCAGGGTTGCTTTCTGTAGTAAATCTTTGCCTTCCCCTTTCCCTCTTCCTCTTTTTTTAGTGTACTGCTCACCTCTATGCTGTGCATGTACTATTTGTTAGAGTAAATACTCAAGATCACGTTTGAATCCTCCTTTACTCCACACTCATATTTATCTATTTAATATATCAGAGAACAGTAAGGTTAAATAAATCTGTTTTGAACTTCAGCAATAGTCCTAACATGTTCTAATATTATTCATCATAGTTGTGGTCAGTTGGGATGAAAGTGGTTGCCCACGCATGAGTCTAACCCTGTGGTTGACATTCTCATCATACTGCAGGAATGCAGTTGTCATTTGTTTCTTACACTGGTATATATCACCATAGCATGTGGGTGTCTGAAATGATCTCAGAGTGATGCAGGTCTTCAGGTGATGTGCCAGTCTCATGGTGGTATTGGAAACATAAGGCAAACTTTGAACCACATTGTGTGTTGCTAACTGTGATTTATTGCCTTAGTTATGGAGATTCAACGCAGGGAGAATAATCCTGTGGTAACTGCTGAGTAACAGAGATTTTCACATTCAGAAACCACTTTTTTCCTTACTTAATGTAGATGACTTCATGTGTAAGTTAGGCTCTGCAGAATGCTTGTTCTCTAAATACAGCAGTCATTGTTAAAGGTCTGTTTCCATACTGAGTTACAGGGATTGTTTCTGTAGTTGTATCATGTGCACCGCACTGTTTCTGGTAGATTACAGCTCTTTATTAAAAAGAATAAATACAGTCCAGGAGTTTTCAATAGTACTTGCACATTTATTATCTTTAGCTCTCCATGTGTTTCTCTTTCTGACTATTCTGTTATGCTTCTATAGGCTCTGGGGTTTGTTGACTGGGAGAGACACCTTCAGAAGCAGTTAATCTACTGCTAATAGCATTGCTTAAATAGTTTGGGTGACTTATCCTCTAGCATGCCTGTTTCTCTCTGTGGGGATTGAAATTAATCTGGGTGACTATCTGAGGTCAGACAAGTAACTTTTAACTAAAAAAACCTGGATAAGGTGAATCTTAGTTATTGAAACAGTGGTTGTTGTATGGGTAATCCCAGAAGAATTAAATTTCTTTTCAGTTTTGCTTATTTTTCTTCCTCTTCTTTTTCTATTTCTGATATAGGTCCTGATGTCTTTACATGAAATGTTCCCAGCGGTGCATGCAGCAGAAATGGCTGTTCAGAGAAACCCACGTTCCTGGGATGCTTGGCAGACTTTGGGACGTGCCCAGCTTGGATTAGGAGAGATAGCACTGGTATCTACTATATATATGTATATCCTTATGGTGACTTGAACGCAGACAAGGAAAAAGTTCATTATTTCCAGTATTCCCTCTGCTTTATTGTGTTTCACACATGGTTCCTGTGTGGTTTTGTTGCTGGACTTGTGGAAGACCAGTCTAGCTTGAAGATTTTTGTATCATATGGCTTTATGCAATAGAACAATTATGCTGACATAACTGCACATACTACATTCTGGGTACTGCTACAGTGCAGCTCACCATAGCTTAATGAGGATAATGTGAAGTCCAAGGATCACCTGATAATTCAGGCTCAGTTTTTACACCTGCCTGCTTACAAAATTCTATTGTCTTGTTTTCCTTGTGTCCTGCTTATGCAGCAAATAATGTGTGCTCATTCCTGTTTTCCTCTGGCTCCTTGACCTCAAATGGTGGCTGAGGTTGCTTCTTTATTTAGTAAGAGAGCAGAAAGCCAGGGATGCTCTGCAGTAGCTGAAGTGCATCTTTTTTTATTGTGGTGTAATATTTTTTTGTTAGTTTCTATGAAAACTCAATAAGTGAACTTTCAAATTCAGACACATTCTCAGAGGTCCATTAAAAAAAACATTTGTATCATGACCTCTTAGATGAAAAAAGATACTGGTTGTTTTTTGAATAGAAGTAGCTGTGTGCTGCTTTGATACAATTAATTTTGTTGGTAATTTAGAGTGGTTTTGCAAAGTTACAATGTTTGGTCTGAAAATTTTCAAGAATTGAAAAAATGATAGGGTTTTTTTGATGAAGGTTAAAAATTCATACAAAACTAATTTTTAAAATGTAGTAAGAGGCAGTGTTAAAAACCCCAAACCAACTAGAACAAATGCAAACTATGTGAATCACCTAGAGTCACAGAACGGTTTGGCTTGGAGGGAGCCTTAAAGATCATCTAATTCCAACCCCATCTAGCCTGGCCTTGAACATTCCCAGAGATGAGGCATCCACAGCTTCTCTGGGCAACCTGTTCCAGGTTCTCATCACTTTCACAGTAAAGACTATCTTCCTAACACCCACATTTCCCCCATTTCAGTTTATTCCCATAACTCCTTGTTTCTACAGTCTCTGACGAAGAGTCCCTCTCCAGCTTCCCTGTATTCCCCCTTCAGATACTGGCAGGTTGCCATGAGGTGTCCACACAACCTTCTCTTCTCCAGGCGGAACAGCCCCAACCTTCTCACCCCATCCTCACTGGGGGGGGTGCTTCAGTCCTGTTAGACCAAGCCTAAGACGAAGGCTGTGTGTTACAGATGTGCAGTGTGCACCCTTTGTTGGTGCAGTACCATAATATGAAATATCTCATATAAATCCATGCATATCTGCATTTCAGCAGTGGTGACATTCCATGGCTTTTGTGGTGTAGAAGGGTAGGGTTGATGGTCTGGTCTGTCTGGATCTTTTCCTTCTAAGAGTATGAAACTGTCTCTGTAAATTATGCCTGAGAATTTTAAATGCACTAGTTTCAGGAAAACTAGAATTTTATTTCCTACAAGCATTCTAAGTAATTGATACTGCCTATTCTGTAAAAACTGCTATAGTTGCTGTAATATCAGTTATAAATAGTAATATACATGTACTAGTTACACCCAGCAGGTTGATTCATCAAATCCTGTAAGATTTTTCTACATAGACAAGTCATGAAGCACCAGTGGGACTGGATATCTTGAGTGCTGGGGACCTAGTGTTCATATTATATTAATTTTGTCTTATTTTAGAGTAGCACTTCTGGTGCTTTCTTAGAATGGATTGTTGAGCTTAATCAGAAAAGGATCTAGTTTATGTATCTGAGACTATTCAGTTATGCAAAGCAAAGCATTTTAAGTGGGAACAATCAGAGATTTGCATCAAAGCACTTCATTCATCTGAAACATTGTTCTAGGTGCTCCTTAATTGTTAAATTGACCTTACTATGGTGAAGAGAGAGGGAGAGAGGAGGGGTTATCACAAGTAGTTTGCCCTCTTAGTTTTTGTTTGTCTCTGAGTAGGGAGCTTGAGGTGTGGAAGCTCCTGGTGGTGTTCCCCGTGCTGTGGTACTTCGTTGCCATGCTTCATTGAACTGCCTTCTGATAAATATTTTTCACATACAGAGAAGTTGGGGAGGTCTTCTAAAATGCAAATAATGTTCACTATTTGTTTTTTAACCAAGTGATTTTTTAGGAATCTTAAGAGCCTAAAACTGAAGGAGTTTAAAAATAAGAAGTTAGTTCATAGTTACTGAACTTGTGGAGTCTTCTAGACCAAATAGTTTAAGTCATAATTATCCTTTTTCCACTAGTCTTTCATTGCAACAATTTTCTTTTTTCCCTGCATCATATTTTTTACAAAGAAAAGTTAATAAAGCACAAATATCAAGGCATTTTTAGGGTTTTTCTTTTTTGAGATTTAGGAATTACTGTCCTTCTCAAGAACTGCTTTCTCTGCTTCTTTGTTTCATTTCTTCCCCACCAACATCTGTCTTCATTACCCACATCCTGCCAAATGATCTGTTGTGAATATTTTTATTACTTCATAATGAATGATGCATTTTTTCTTAGGGAAAAAACCTATTTACTGTATTTAGTTTGAAGTTTCCCAGGTCTAAAATGTTGCTTCCAAACAACTATAATATATATTATGAGCTGTGTAAAAATAAAAGAAAGAAAGATTTGCTTGGATTTAGTTTTTGTCAAACTTGTGACAAAAAGAATGAGCTAAACCAGGCCCTTTTTATTTAGCTTTTATGAAAGTTTTTTGTTCTTTTTTTCGGAATTTAATAAATAGGATAATTCAACAGTAATACTTAAATGTGAGCAAGGAAAACTTTATTTCTGTAAAGGCAGAAATTCCTTAAAATCTACAAATCAATGTGCAGAGCATACCAGTAAACCTGCAATGTGAATGTAGTAACTGTAGAAATATAGCCAGGCTTGCAGTATTTCTCTCATTTCATTGCAAATACTTGGTTTTACAAATTAAATTTCCTATATGGCTGATAACATCTTAACTAGTTAACAATTTCACACCAATAGCTTCATTACAAGAGTTCCTCCTGTGAGACAGGGTAAGCCCCATGCTTTGATTAATCAAGGGAAAAAAAAACCAAACTAAAACCAAACAAAAGCAATATTAAAAAGAAAACCCAAAACTAATCACAAAAAAAAAAAAAAAAAATCAAGGACTGAATGAAAGGACTGAGTCTACCACCATGGAGAAATTCATCAGCCCTGCAAGATGGTCATAGGCAGCCAGCTCAGTGACCCTGCTTGAACAGGTGACCTTAGAAGGTCCTGGCCACCCTCAGACGTCTTGTGGTTCTGTGACTTTGGCTTTACCCCATTCTAGGGCCCTGGCAAATCTGGAGTACTGAGGATCACAAAGTTGAGAGGACAACTCGTGCATGGGTTCTGTTTGATGTTTTGAAGGGTGTGGTTTCCTGTATTCCTGCTAAGCAGTTAGGGCTTTAGCAGTCTTCAAGTGTGACACAACATTTTGTCAAAAGAGTCATGCCTTGACAATATGAATCCTCAGATCAGCCCTTTCCTTTCATCTCTCTTGAAAGAAATAGTTTTGGGTCTTTTAGATAATGATGGAAGTTTTGTACTCCCAGAGAGAGAAATGTCTGTGCTCTATTGGAATGCAGCTAATTAACATAACTACTCTGAATTTGAGATAATTTTTCAACATGTTACAAATGTTAGCATTTAGAAACATAGAGTGTTTTGGTAATAAAAAGGAAATTGGTGGTTGGCCTTCCACTGAAAAGTCAAAGTATTTAGAAAATGCTAAGTTAATAGAGAAAGTACCATGCTTTTTCATTTAAAGTGGGGTTCTGTTAAATTATTTTCAACTTTAAACAGTCCTACTGAGTTATTGAAGTAATAGTCAGTAATGTAAGCATCCCCAGGAAGGTTTTGTGTTAATCCTCTCCATCTACTATAGAGTAAATGTTTGTTTTAACCACTGTTGGAAATCATAAATATATTTTGTTATAGTGATTGTTAATTCACAAAAAGATCTTCTAGTCAGAGGTGATTTTTATTTTCCATCAAGAAAGCTGAAGGGTAAACAAGTCTCCAAAAGTTTAAATGCCCTTTTCAGCTAGATTTCTGCCAGGGGTACTCACTTTTTGTAAGTGATTGTGGCTGATTTAGCTGGTGCCTACCTTTGTCAGATGCTCAGGACTTTCGAGGAGTGGATTTCTCAACACTGAGACCTTGTAATTGAAAGCTTTAGCTATATCAGATGCACAGGATAAGACAAACAGGAATGTTGAACAAGGTTTATTTGACCATTGTTTTAAAATTCCTGTAATAATTTTGGCACTAATTTGGTAATAAAGAAGTAAATGTGTTCTTGGATTTTCTGGATTTGCAAGGTAAGTACTGATAACACTTAAGCTTTATTTTCATTGGCTAACTATGTCAATTTTTAGAATGGGATTGATTTTTGTGGTTATTGTTTCCTTTGTCTTCCTGGATTATATCCTTGTGTCTGGTAGAGCACAGTGTAAGAGGTCTGTGTGGTAGAGGCAGCCTGAAGCAGTGATTCAGCAAAACATGCAGCAGCCTTGCAGGGGTGTGCACCTAGGTGGAAGGGCAGAAGGATGGTAAATGTGAGGAAAGAGGACTGTGAGGAAATGAATTGGTGCAAAATGACATCTGTGAAATCTGTCACCGAAGCAAAAGAAAGTACAGGAGGATACAAATTTCTTCAAAAAGAGAAAAAGGAAGTTGTGGAAGTGGGGATATCTCACTCACATCTACCAGATGAAAACAAAGACTCTTATGCATTTGTAATTTATTTAACCAAATCCCAATAAGCATAAGGCAAAAATAGTCTTTTACATCTGGAAAATTACTGTATTTCAAGTACTTTCTCCAGAACAGGAGATCTCCAGAACCTTTGAATAAAATGGTTTTGGAAATGTAAGAAGGACAAAATACTGTGTTCACCTCATTTTGTAAGACACTAGAATTACTTTCGATGAAATTTCCAGAGAGAATTTTTTTATTGAAAAGCAGAAATAATCTGAACAGAAAATTACACAGAAAAGTTCAAGATAACAGTTTAAAGTAAAAAAAATAAATTTAAAAAAAATCTGCCATTCAGATTAACTATAGAAGCTATTAAACTAGAGTAAAAATACCTGAAAGGATGGGACTTTTTTTCTTGTTTGAAGGAGAGAACTATCATGAAGAGTCTTTAAGTATATGAAAATGTCTTATTTCTCTATTTTCTGCATTACTGCGATAAATGCTTCTGTAAAAATGAGTTATTATGTTCACGGTGAGTAGTACAAAAATAAGACTCAAATTCCAGTAATATATTGTCATAGAATCATAGCAAGCTTTGGTTTGGAAGGGACCTTGAAAAGTCCTCTAGTCCAACCCCCTGCAATCAGCCAGGGCATCTTCAGCTAGACCAGCACTTGCTCAGAGCCCTGTCCAGCCTGGCCTTAAAGGTTTCCAGGGACAGGGCATTAACCATCTCTCTGGGCAACCTGTTACAGCATCTCAGTAAATCACTGTAAACAGTATCTTCCTTACATCTAGCCTGAATCTACCCTTTTTTCAGTTTAAAGGCATTATCCCTTGTTCTATCACTGCATGTCCTTGTGTAAGTCCTTCTCCAGCTCTTCTGTGGGTCTTTACAGGTACTGGAAGGCTGTTGTAAGGTGTCAGTGAACCCTTCTCTCTCCAGGCTCAATAGCCCCAGTGCTCCCAAAGTGTCCTCACAGGAGTTGTGCTCCAGGCCCCTGATCCTATTTGCTGCTTCCTCTGGGCTGTCTCCAGCATGTCCCTGTCCCTCCCGTGCTGGGAGCCCAGGGCTGGATGCAGGGCTCCAGGTGGGTCTCAGCAGAGCAGAGCAGAGGGGCAGAATCCCCTCCCTCCCCTGCTGCCCACGGGGCTCTGGATGCAGCCCAGGACACGTTTGGCTCTCTGGGCTCTGAGTGCTGTAAAAACACACAAAATTTTTCCATATTAAAGATAATTTAACACAGAAAAAGATTACTTACTTTACCAGTAGACATCCTTTGAAACAGGTCAGAAAGCGTCTGCCTAGTGTAATATAAAGGTCTACCACATACTTTGGTAGCAGATACAGCTCTTAAAATTCTGGCTTTTTTGGGGGGTTCTGAAGGCTATGCAGACCAGCAGAGGAGACCCTATTCATTGGACAAATGGAAGACTGTTTGCTACAGAATACTGTTTATAGTGAGACAAAATGTAAAGTACTTCAAAAATACAGATATGTCAAATACTGTAATTCCATAACAAAGAATGTCTCGCAGAAGGTTTTACATTGCACTTCCTTACAGAAGCAAAAGCAAATACATGACTGTACTGATAAAAAGCCCTGTAGTCCTTATATGCAGGGTCTCTAAAATTACAGCTCCTCTTTAAAATGAGGCTAAAAATACCTGTTTTATGTAGTGTCACTGTGTTTTCCTAAGTATAACAAGAAATTGGAGAAGAATATTTACATCTCCATTAGGGGAAGAGTTAAAAGTACCACTGTTCTTTTCTTTTGTCATAATACAAATGAATGGCTTTGGGCACTGTTCCAGTGGCAGCATAAAATTTTAAATGCATGACAAATGTGTATTTTTCAGTTTTACATTACTGCTTTAAAATTAATCCCACTGATCTTTTGTAGCACTTAAAAATTCACTTTATCATTTTGTTATTTCTTTATAAAAATGTCAAGCACAAAAACTCTTTTCTAATAGATTTACTAAGATGATCTTTTTATGCTGTATTGTATGAATCATCAAAGTAACTTTGATGCTCACCAAATGTTATTTATTGTGCATAAACATAACTATATAGACAGGTTTTAATGAGGAGACCTCTTTCTTGGAAAGCTTAAAAGCAAATGGTGTTTGTTTATATTTTGTTTTCAGCAGAAATACAAAAATTAGCATTTAGTGTTTACTTGTTGTTCATGTGTCCCTGAAAATTAAAAGCTAGCAAAGTTGAATAAAGTAACACTTTTTTACAAGAACTAAACTTCAGTTCTTCTTTTGTTTAAAGTTCAGCGTGCTCCTGCACGTCAGAGCTGTCTGTGGACCAATAATCAAGCTTTTTTTTTTCTATCTGGAGTTGAAAGGCTGCTTTTTACAACAGCAGTAATACTGATAGCATAGGCAGCATTTCTTAAATCTGATTTTGTATCTCTTTCTTCTGAGTTCCCATCATATGGAGTCCATATATTCATCTGTGCCATCAGAAGGATGAACTATCAATTTCTGTCAATGCAGAAGAAAAGTTGTGATTTTTCCAAATTAATTGGCATAATCCAGTATAAATATATTATCTGATATATTATAAACTGCTTATAAGATATTATAAACTATTTATAATATATTATAAACTACAACAGACTATGTAAACTGTGGTTTACCATGTCTTTAAGGTTTTAATATTCAAGTTGTGAGAGGTCTTCCCAAATATCATACCAATCCATATCATCACAGTTTTCCCATCTTACAGGAAAGCTTCTGTAAATGTAATAAAAGACTTTGGTTACTAAGGTGACCAATTTTCATAACTGACTGTACAGTCATAAACGTGAAATACACTCATGCTTTTGTGTACATGTACCTAAGTTTGAGGAGGTAGGTTCATCCTTGACCACTGTTAAGATAACTACAAGACAAATACAACTGTAATTCTTGGTGTAGCTGTTTTCTAGTATTGTAGCGACCTCTTATTTTAGATGGTCACACTTCTTTGTTTTTAATTTCACAGTTTCTCTGTTGAGGATTTGTATTTGTATTTTCCCAGCTGAACTCTTAAGAAAGGAGAAGCATCACTAACTACACTTACTTCTACTAATATTATGTTGTTTATGAGGTTATAGAAGCTCTTTCTTAGAGCAACTCTTGAAGTTTGGAGTTCATTTGGCTCCTTCTGCACATTTATTTATATGTTTTTATAACCACATGCCTATTACAGAAACTCTTTAATGTGGATAGTTTCAGTGTAGAGTTAGATCTGCATGTGAAATTACTACATTCTAATTTAAAGGCAGCAATACCAGTGATACTTCAAAATTCCAGTCATCCATTTTCTGTATTTCTTTAAACCATATCTGTCTGCTTTTACCTGTACTTATATCTGATGATGAAAGAAATGTGGAATAGGAAACCATCCAAAAAATTGTTTTTCCTCTTACCTTTTTAATAACAACATTGTTTTTTATATTTGAACTCTTTATTTGTGCCCTTGTTGCCAGGTACCTAGTTTATTAATGCATTTTTGTCTTTTCAGACACAATTATTTGGGGGTGAGGCTGCTATTGAACCAAGATGAGGGAAGATTGCTCCAATAAAGACGGGAGTAAAACATCTTTTGGCTTTGCTTAAATTAAATATATAATTTTTTTGTTGTTTTCAATTTTTATGAATAAGGTAGGCTTTAAAGTGTCCCATCTTTGTTTCTTCCTTGTTCTCCTTCTAGGCAATCCGTAGCTTCCAGGTATCCTTACACATCTTTCCAATGAACCCAGAAGTATGGAAAGAAGACCTTTCCTGGGCAAGAAAACTACAGGAACAGCAGAAGGCCACAAAGACTGAGTCAGTGCACGCACTGGCAAAAGGAGAGGAGCTTGTACAAGACTCAGTCCCAGACTATGACTTTGAAAGTGATGAAATTGTGGCAGTCTGTGCTGCCATTGCAGAGAAGGAGAAAGCTCTTTCAGCAGCTAAAACAATGGTGATTGTGTCTGCTTCAGGCACAGTAGAGACTGTTACCGAGCAGGACAATTGTTCTGCAGCTCCTGATGAAACCCTTTTCATCAGGGCCCGGTAGGGCAGCCTCATGGGTTGGCATGCCCATAGTTTTAAGAACTGCTGTTACTTACTGTATTTTGCTTGCTTTGTGCTTGTTCTTTTTTTTTTATTAAATGGTAGGATAGCCCACAAAAGTTAAAAAATTGAAGGTTTTCTTTTTTTTTTAAGTAAAAAAGCAATGACTGAGTTGTTGTTCCATCTGTACTTGCAAAAAGAAAGCCAAGAGTTGATTCTAAAAATTCCAAATTCTTACAAACAAATGTAATGTTGAAATGCTTAGCTGCATTCTAACAGCTGCTTTCATCTTTGTGTATTTCATAATTTTACAAGTTAATGTGTACATTTTCCCAGTAATTAGGAAAGTTTTATTTAAACTGTAAAAGTTCTGTGGTTTATCCCTAGCTGGCAACTCAGCCCCAAACAGCTGACTGCCTCCTGGTGGAATGGGGGGGGAGAATTGGAAGAGTAAAAGTGAAAAATCTTGTGGGCTGAGATGGATGCAGCCTAATAGGGAAAGCAAAAGCTGCACATGCAAGCAAGGAAAAACAAGAGATTCACCCAGCAGTTCCCATGGGAAGGCAGGTGTTCAGCCATCCCTAGGGAAGCAAGGCTACATGATGTGTGACTTGGGAAGACACGTAGAATATCCTCCCTTCCCCTATCTCCTTTCCTCAGTTCTGTGTATTGTGCTGTGAGATTGAATATCCCTGTCATCAGTTGGACTCAGCTGTTCTGGCTTATCTCTTCCAGCTTCTTGTGTAGCCCCAGTCTTCTCACTGGTGGGATGGGGTGAGGAACAGGAAAAGGCCTTGACCTGGTGCAAGCACTGCTCAGCAATAATGAAAACAACTTGCGTTATCAACACTTGCCAGCACAAAATCAAAATGTAGCCCCCTACTTGAAACTCTGAAGAAAATTAAATCTATCCCAGCCAAAACCAGCACAAAAGAAGGAATGTTTAAAAATTACTTCAGTCACTATGAAATGACATTATTTTTCTTCCAGTAAAAGTCTGAACTGTTTTCTGTTATTGACAGTCTTTATTTTCATTAAGATTACTTGTTCTATGAGAAATTTTCCTATGAAGCAGGGATGGATTATTATTTTGTATGTCTGTGTGTGACAGATCTGATTTGTAGCCAAATCAAGTAGAAACCTTCATATTGCTTTCCTCAGTGAGTGAGTTAAACACTTTCTGATTAGATGAAAGGAAATTTTTACCAACCAAGGCCCAGAATGCTTAGTTACAACTAAATGTTTCACCAAAAGAAAGAACACTGTTTGTGACTGAAACTGGCCTTTCCTTATCTTGTGTGCTCTGCTAGAGACATCACCAAAAGTGGAATGGTGGGTGTAGAAGATATGGCTGAATTGTATCGTGTTTGGGGCTTTTTTTTCCTAGTGAGGCTAATCTGATAAAGGGAGTCAGTTTGCTTTTCCTAATCCTTATGACCTGCCATTAAAAGTATGCTCTTAGGGGAAAAAAGCCAGTTTTCCAGGACAGCACTGTTGGAGTCTTCCTTTTTGTCCTTTTTTGATTTTGGATGCAGAGGTGGGCAATGAGGCATACCCTAGGAAATTTTTTTTAATGTTGCTTTTTTTTCAGGGGAAGGTGGCAATTGGTTCCTCACACAGGCATTTCAAAGAAATTAAATCAAGCTATTTCTTTCATGTGCTCTGTGCTGAGACTGTTTTTATTTTATTGTCTTGGAGACATGGTAGAGATGATCACATCCAAAAATTAGTGGAAAAAATGGTCCACCGAGGAATTCCTGAAGAATTCAGTTTGGGAACATGTAATTTGTACATGATTTTGATAAAATTTTATATGATAATACATAGTTTTGTATACAAGTGAAACTTCTGCAATCAGTAATCTCTGCACTTTCCAAGTCTGATTTCTAATTTCAAAATAACACATTTTAAAAGAAAATAATGTTGCTTGAGAAGTATAATGTTTTTGCAGTGGAAAATGCTTGGCAAAAAAGCTATCTGAAGTAATACTTTCTGTTTATCTGATATCAGAATATATTTAAGAAGATACGCACAGTTTTTAAAAAATACTTAATTGCCCTGTTGTACTAAGTTTTAATTAATTTTTTGCAAGATTCTCCCTGAATGTTTTTTGTATTTCTGAATTTTTAGATCTGTGCTTGCATGAGCACACATTCACACAAAATCACACCTTTTACTATCTTCTGAGGATTCCAAATAATTAGAGCTACAGTGGCATAAATCATTAAGAAATGTAAAACATCATCATGCTACATTTTTATTTCTTCATTAAGTTCAGAATGATTTAAAAACGCTTACTGGATAGGCACGTGATTAAGATACAGTTTGATAGTTCAAATTTTTAGAGTTGAAGGATTTCTTAATCTTTCTCCTATCAACTTAATCTAGTCAGCTGTAGGAAGAGTTAGCGTGAGAGGGATTTGGGCAGATTTCTTCAAAGAAGAGATCTTCTCTGGCTGGAAAACGAGATGTGTAAAATGCTCTAGGGTACATTTTCATTTTGAAGGAGCTTGGCTGCATCCACCTCATCTTTTCTTTCTTTGGGCTTTGTAATTGCGTCAGTGTTCTGTCTTTACTCATACAGGAAGGACTGCTACCCTTCTCTTAGAGGCCTGTGTTATCACAGAATCTTTTTCCACTGAAATGATTCACAAAGTTCCTATTGACTTCAACGCTGCAGGGCCAGACTACTGGAGGGGTGTACATCTGCACCACCAGGCTGTGCCGCGCTCGAGGGCTGGTGGTTTCCATCTCATGTACTAAATGTGTTTTCCTTCTAATTAGATTAGGTTATGAATTCTAGGTATTGTCAGAACTAGGTATTGCCAGTGTTTTGTAAAGCAGTTAAGTTCCTGGGACACTCTTTTCAAACTGGAGAGAAGTTCAGATATTGATGATTTCAACATTGTTTTTGTACAGCATGCCATGTTTTGCATGTATGTAATTTTCTGGATCAGTTTGTGGTTTGAATAAAATACTGGCTTCTGCTGCTTAGTGATGCTGCTTATTCTTTGGGTTATAACAAAAATAAGTATTATTTCCCACTCCAGAATGTTCCTCATTTAGTAATTGGCTTTTGTCTCTGGTGAACATGTTAATTTATTTTAGTAAAAAAGAAAAGATATCTTGGGGAAAAATATTTAACAAAAGGTGGTGCTCAGAGCTTTTAAACCTTTCAGGGATATCCACATGAGATGGAGCAAAAGGAGATATTATCCAAAACAGGATATTAGTGAAATACACTCCCTCTTCGACATTAGAAAATGATTTTATTGTCTGTCATTAACATTAGTGGCAGTGACTGCAGCAGCTTTCATGTGTTTGCCTTCCATATGAATCACATAGTAAAATGCTAAACTGTTTCAAGAGGAAAGAACAAGAACAACACTGGGTTAGATGGATTAATTTTGCTTGATTAAAAAACCGACAGTTAAACATTCAGATATATTTTTCCCTTTGAGTCCCTTTGTATCCAGTGGAAAGAAATACACAGCCTCACAGGGCCACTCATATGCCTTGTTAGATAAGTATCAGAATGAGTTGAATCAGCCTCCCAAGGTGCCTAATTATTTCCCTTGACTACAAAGGAAGCTCAAGATGACTGACTGGCAGTTAACCTCAAATGCTGAAACCGAGCATGTGACTTCCACTCTGATAGATTGGAGATAATTACCTTTTAAAACCTTAAATGTACTGAGAGAAATAAATCCTTTCTGACAGTATTAGAGGGTAAAAAAGGAATAAAGATTGGATAACACAACAGTGACTCTTACGTGATAATACCTTAAGACACTGGATTTTAAAAGTAGTCATGGAGAGGGATAGAAAGCAAATGGAGAAGTTTACTCTAGGTTTAGAGATCAAGATCAGAGAGGTAGCACTGGAAACTTGCTTGCCCACACAAGGTAAGTTCCCTCCCAATCCTAAAACCAAGGGAGAGGAGGTAAAATACTAGCATTGAGATGCTATCTTTATTTTAATTTCACAGAATTGCTATAAAACTATAATAGACTGTAGTTAGGACTGGGGCACAGGAAAGCAGAAGCATGTGGACTTCGTTTGTTGACAGGTTGCAGGAACTATGTGTTTACTGTAGGTCACAGTCATATTAATATGGTGTTCCGAGATGTGCTGGAGTCCCTGGGCTGGTACCTCCAGAGGGGCTGATGGGCATGGGTGACTGCTGAATCCTGACAGGTGTGCTGCCTGGCAGGATTCAGGCTCTTAGGAAATCTAGGTGCTAGGCTAGGAGGTGTAAGGGTTGTAAAGGAAAAATGATCAAAAGGAAAGATTAGATGAGGGGATTGAGCTTTGGTTTCACAAAGCAGGAGATTCACTGAGTTTCTAGGTCTGTAAAGCTGGCAGGCCAACAAGAGAGCATGGGGTGCAAAGGCCTGGTGGTATTTGGTAGCTTTAATAGTAAATCTGCCTTAAGGGGACCAGGTTTGCTGTTGTGTCTGACAGCAAAAATAAAACCTCAAAAGCTTCCTGACTTAGGATGTTGGCTGTGCCATTTGAAGACAGCAGATCCTGGGCACTGGCACTGGGCCTGTAGTGCCAGTTCGGGTCAGGCAGCACTGGTGTTCCCGACAGCAGGAATGTGTGAGCCTGATTTAAAACAGCCAAAGCCCTCTGAGAGTACACCCTACACCCTTAACCGTTCAGAGTTGGAGAGATCCATTACCATGGATCAGAGATTCAAACTAATCTACCGATCTTCACAGAAACCACTGTCTGGTACAGATACTGGCTCTCATCCTGCCTGTGGTGGGTGGAACCTCCAAGCCCTGCCACAGGACAGGGGCTTCAATTGAGTTAGGGCTGGGGTTTGGGGTGTGGTTGCGGGGCTGGAGGTCAAAAGCAGCGTCTGTAAAGGGTTCAGCAAAGCCATGATCTGGGATGTGTGGGCAGGACAGACTGCTGGAAGGGAGGGAGGGAGACTGCTGGTCACAGGACTAGCAGGGTGGACAGAGTTTGAGAGATACAAGTTTGGTATGAGAAATTTTTGATTCAGTACATTTTCTGTAAACATGGAGGAATGGAGAATGTGGATGGTGATGTGAAAGGCCATTCTGAGGGAATATGGAACTCTGGGCTTTGGGTGAGATAGGGGAGATATTTATGTGTGAGAAAGGAAACCCTTTTGTATACATGGAAACTAGTCATAATACCTAGCAAGAAAATAACCTTTTAACCTCCATATAGCAAATTAGACTCTTCAAACTTGCAGCCTCATTTTAGACTTGTTAAGTCAGAGAGGCCAAGGAATGTTGTTCATTCCTTATAATGTGCCTCTGGTCAGCATTGTAAGGAGCTAAACCTGAGTGGGACTGTGAGGCAGGTGAGTGAGATGTCTCTACTGTCACCCTAAAAAAGGCATACTTGCCCAGTCGTTCTGCCCAACTGCTCCTGAACACTCATCTGTGTTTGCAACAAGACAACAGAAGGGCTCCAATTTTGCATTTGTGCACTGCCATGGAGCTGTGGCCGGCAATCCCAGTATTTGCTCAGAAGACTTCGTGGGCCATTTGGGAATCATGGAATTCATTTCTGAGGGAGTTCATGTTAATAATGAGTCTAGTCCACTACTGACACGTTGTGAATGCTGGGGGCAGGAGGAGGACCTCAGGCCTATTGTGCTTGCCAAAGGAAGCTACTTAAGATGATCTATTCTTGCTTAAAGTTCTTTCAGACCGTGTGTAGTTCTCATCAGTAATGATGACAAGGAGTAATAAAAGTATGTTAATGAAGTAATTTTTAAAACAGTGAATCCCTGCTTATTTAAATACTAAAAACACTATAGATCCTTAATTCTGTCATTGCATAAAGTACCAATAATATTGGTGTGCTGCTGTGGGCCAGCTGCAAAGGTGTGGTTGCATCTTGGTACATGTGGTGTTTTCTGCCTATGGCAGTCCCACCTTCCCGCTCTGCCAGGTACTATTTCCTGCCTTGGGAAGTATGGTGAGTCTGTTCTATTTGTTGGTCACTAGCAACAGACTATAGTGAGGTGGTTTAATTGCAAAGAATTCAGGCAGATCTTTATCTGTAGCTGCAGTAGGAGCTTGGGTAATACTATTCTCTAGCTCAACTGGTGAAAAGTGGCTGTTGCTGCTGCAAATATTTGTGTACAGATTTAAGTTCACTTTCTATATGTATGAAGGCAAATAAGCTCAACTACCCTGTTAAAGGAAAATGTCTTTGTTCAAATAAAGAATTTCTGTGGCTCTGTGTCAGTGCTCTTTGAGATAGTTTTGAAGACTGCTGCTTCTTGCCGATGATGATCAGGCTGTGGTGTTTTGGAAACTTGCAGGACAACGTATGTTTTGGCAGTAACTGAGTGCAAAGCATTCCAAGATGGGAGGCTTGTTAAGGCAAGGAGTTGGCACTGAATGGCAGACTCATATAGACATCTGAGATCAAGCAGAACATTTCCATTTAATTGTGATCCCCAAAGTTGCTTTTGTTGGTACAACTGCTTAAACATATCAACATTAAGGCTCAAGATTTTCATTACAATGTAGCATTCACATAAAAACACTTTAAGCAGCATAACATACTTTGTATTTGACAAAACGTCCCCCAAATATCTGTACAGAATTATTTTAATACACAGTATTTCTGGAACAAGATCTAACCCTTACAACATAAAACACAAAACTCCTTTTTGTCAGTGGTTAACAGCTGGTTTTGGTGATGTGTTTGTCATCAAAACTGTAGCAACAAATGCTTTTCAAGGTGTTTAAGACTGCTATATAGTTCTATATAAGCTATACTTTAAATTAAAATTCTGCTTCCATGGTTTCATACATTTATTTGATGGCGTATCAGATTACACAGTCATAATATTCTATTTACTATTTAAAGTAAAATGATAAATGTTATGAAAAAATACCTTTATTACATCAGTGATGATTTAACTAAAGTGAATATTAAGACTATTAACCGGGAGTTGAAAGTTTCGGGCCCTGATATTGAAAGCACTTCTATATGTCCTTAACTTTATATGTAAGGAGTCTCCCTGGCAGCAGAGGGACCACTCTGATGGGCAATGTTAAGTGTGTGCCTAAGGTGTGCAGACTGTGGGCCAAAGTACTCAGAGAGGTGCACATGTGTTACACAGAAAAACGTTCTCAGAACATAAATAAAATCTGATTTTTTTAGTATATACATATACTGAAAACTAATATTCTTAACTGGAAGGATGTGTTTTCTTTTTCTCTTAGAAAGGCATATATTCCCATTTCACTCAGAAAGTGCTTATGTATTCTCAGCTCGAGAATTATCTCATCAGCTGTGAATCTAGCATGAACAAGAAATCTAAGGTAAGAATGCCTTATCAGCAGGAAATACTGAGGGAAGAGAAGGCTGGCAATCATTTCTGTACACCTTGTATTCCTAACAAACCTTCTCATAGAGAAGAATACACTTTTAAATATTTTCTATCCTGACATATATACAATAATAAAAATTCACATTTTCATGCTTTAGTGAGACACTTTAAAATCCTACTGCAGGCAGCTCTCAGAGTAGCTGTGTCCAGTTCCTAGCAGCTGCCTCATATTCAGCTCTAGTACCAGAAGCTTAAATTCTTGATAGCTGAGCAGCCATGGGGAAGGAGCAAGAACAATTCTACCAGACTTGGAAAGGGAAAGAAAAAAAAAAAAAAAAAAAGCAAGTGATGGGGTCTTTCTATTTCCAGAGGCACAGTAGCTGTCCTGTGTCCTACAAGACAAGGCAGTTCATGTTTCCAGTCCCATCAGACCTGCTTTATACCATTTCCGATGCAGGGCCCAAGTGCAATGTCTGTGCCACACAGTCCTCAGTAGTCTAAAGGAAATGTACCCATCACACAGCAAGAGAAAAATTAGCCCTTTGAAGCACAGCTGAACCCCTCTTCCCACGAATAGGCAGAACACCTATCTATTGCACCAGTTTTTCCAATGTACCAGGAAGTATCCCCAGGGTTGATGCCTTTCATGGCTATCTATATG